TTCATCGCTCTTTGATAAGTTGCCCATACATTCTTCAGGCCGAAAGGTATAACTACCCACTCAAAATATCCTAAAGATCCAGGACATCTAAATGCAGTTTTGTGTATGTCTTCCTCAACTTTGTAAATTTGATTTTATCATGAATACCCATCCATAAAGGAATATATTACATGTCCGGTAGTTGATAAATGTAGTTTCTACACTTATTCGAGATCCTAAATGATGATATTTTACTGTTCTTTGGATAAAATACTACCTAATTTGTGTTATATTTCATTTCTCGGTAAAACTCAATGTTTGTTGAAGTATTGGAGAAAATAATACAAAGATAGCGAAAAATGACTCCATTATATCAANGAATCAAGTTTGGGGGTGTGATAAGTATAGTTTCTACACTTATTCGAGTACCTAAATGATGATATTTTACTGTTCTTTGGATAAATGACTACCTAATTTGTGTTATATTTCATTTCTTAGGTAAAACTCAATGTTTGATGAAGAATTGGAGAAAAGAATGCAAAGATAGTGGGAAATGGCTCGAGTGTATCAAATACAAAGTTCGAGAACTGAAATGCAAATATTCAAAAGTTACGTTGAACCTCGCGATGAAGATTTGAGAGTGTTAGATATCAATTGGATGACGAAAGAAGCCAATGGGATGAAATATAGTCCAAATATTATCACATATCAACTTCCAGCCAAAAACGTTATGCTTCGAATTTTCAGGCTCACATTGAGACTCAGTTTTGGCATAGAAATATTTCGAATTGGAAAAATGATATTGCTACAAGAATTGTAGCCTTGCAAGTCATATTTCCAATGCACTTTGAATCACCTCATTTGGATATCGAGAGAGAAAGTTATGATAAAAATACTGAGAGCTGTCAACTGCCAAAAATAAGTCCTAAGGCGCAAGCCTTCGCCTGCAGGCAAGGCGCGCGCCTAACTTCAAATTGGCCTCGACTGAGGCCTACCTAAAGGCTAAGGCACAAGCCTTAAGCCAGGATGAGAAAAAAAGGTTTGTTTCCTTATATTGTTTTGGGAGTTTCTAGGGTTGATATAAAAGGTATTTTTTGGGATTTTTGGATGAGAGCCGTATTTTGAAGAGAAAAATGAGAGACCTTCATTGAACCTAAATTTCATCATATTCTACATATTTTGGAGGCAAACACCTTCTCATCATAAAAGGAACGCCCAGATGGTTCTCCCAACAGGTCTACCTCGCGAACATCTTCTCAATGTAGTTGTTTTAACAATGTATTGAGCGATACTCCCCTCTTTCTTCTTTTTGCTTCCAGATTAATTTCTTCTTCGATGTTCGTCATGCCATCGTCCTCTTCTCCTTCGTATGCCTCCTAGATGTCTGCTATCTTCACACTCTAGTACACAAGCTTCCTCTCCGTTATCCTTCATTTCTTCCTCTTCTTTCTCTTTATTTTTGAACTCATTAGATAGTAAATAGTTATTAGCCATGACAGGAGGTAAATTACCGAACTGAATAGTGAGGGGTTGATCTGGATCTTCTTCATCCTTTTTGCCTCGTTCAAACTTTGATCTCCCAGAAGAACTTTTTGGCAGTTCTTCCATTGATTCACCCGTACCAGTCTCTTTACTATCTTTGAGAACATTTTGATTAGCCACCTCGAGTAATTTAGGCACTTTAGGACGTGGTAATCCCTGTTGTTGCCTCATCATTCTTCCGTAATTCCGTTGAAAATGCCTTTGTTAGGTTCTAATCATCTCATTGAAGGGTATCACCCTTCCCGCATTATACTGGAATGAATGCCATACATTTGGTTGGCGAGGTTGTGGCCTGAATATTCTCCCATTATTTATCAGCCTGAACTGCCTCTCAAAAGGTGGTCCTCTATAGAATGATATACCTCGCCCTCTAACGGTTGAGCGATTGGACAAAATCAGGGCGATGGTGATGCTGCCGTATTCCTGGTTTCTCTGTGTTTGCATTCATTTCTCCTTTACATCTTGCACATAGAATACATTCATCTCCTCTAGTTCTTTCCCTT